TTTATATAAACAAAAAAAGAAAAAAAAAGGAAAAAAATACCCCCCCTTAAAAAAAAAGAAAAGCAACCAAAACAAACAAACAAAAAAGGTAAGGGAAAAACCCTCTGAGTTTACAGAGCGATTCATTTCTTGGCTGGGTACAGGGAGACGGGGGGAGGAAGGTCACCCTCCTTGTCCCCCTGCCTCAGTTCCCCAGGACGGTGGGTGCTGGCTCGGAAAGGGGAAGTGTTCTGTGCCACAGGGAGGCTGGGGTTTGGCGGCTGCCGTGATTCACTCCCACGCGTGGTCTTGCGCAACGCTCGGCCTCTGCTTCCTCCCTGATCCTCCTCCTCTCCAGCCTTGAGGGACTGAGCGCTGCTGAAGTGTGGGTGGGCAGTGGGGGACCCTGGGGGGTCTCTGGGCTGTTGGGGTCCCAGGGACGCGATACCAAAGAGGAGCTTGTTAAGACGGGTGTTGGCGAGGGCTGGAGGGGATTTGGGGGGTTTTGGGGTTGTTTTGGTGGAGGGGCCACGGATAGAGGTAGGCTATGGCAGGTTTCTGTCTGGCGGGATGGTATCATTTTATGATTCTTGAGGCGAAAAAAAACCCAAAACAACAACAAACCAACAACCCAAAACAGCTTTTTTTTTAAATTTATTTAAAAAAAGAAAATAATCTGAGCAGATCCCGCCGTGTCCTGTACGCGGGGCAGAGCAGCGGGGAGGGGGCGGTGTCGGCCCGCCCGGCCCCGGGCGCACGTGCCGCCCCGCCCCCGCCCGCTTTCACAACCGCGGCCGCCGCCGATGTTTTCCTACCCGGGACTGGGCGCATGGCGCGGCCGCCGGGGCCGCTTCTCCTTCTCCTCCCTCTCCGCTTCTTCCTCCACCTCGCCGCCGGGCGGCCCTGCGGCCCCGCCGGTGAGTGCGGCCGGCACCGGGCAGGGCGGGAGCGGGGGTGGCCCTGAGCCTCTGTCCGTACCTGGGCCTCGTGGGTCCGGGCTCGGCGAGGGGACACATGCGGCTCCGTGCCTGCCCCAGGGGAGCTCAGCCGGGCCCGGGGAGGGGGGCGGCTGGTGGTACGGCACCCCTGGGGGCTGGGGCTGGGTGCTGTGTCCTGGGTGCTGTGTCCCGGTGCTGTGTCCCGGGCACTGTGTCCCGGTGCTGTGTCCCGGTGCTGTGTCCTGGTGCTGTGTCCCGGGTGCTGTGTTCCGGGTGCTGTGTCCCGTCCCGGGTGCTGTGTCGTGCCCCGGTGCTGTGTCCCGTCCCGAGTGCCCCGGTGCTGTGTCCTGTCCCGAGCACTGTGTCCCGGTGCTGTGTCCCGGGCACTGTGTCCCGGTGCTGTGTCCCGTCCCGGGTGCTGTGTCCCGGTGCTGTGTCCCGGTGGTGTCCCGTCCCGGGCGCTGTGTCCCGCGGGCTGTGTCCTGTCCCGGTGCTGTGTCCCGGCTGCTGGTGGGTGCTGCCTGCGTTCCCAGCAGCAGGAGCCGAAGGGAACAGCAAGTTCACGCTGGCCGCTGACCTTTGGAGGGAGCCGGGAGCGCTGCCCAGGCCTCACCCGGGCTGCCGGCCAGCGCAGTCGCTTAACCCCTCTGGCACTGGACTGACCCCCACCCAGGGACTCCCGGGACCACCGGTCCCAGTGTGCCACCTTCCTTGAGCTGTGCTCCCTGCCAGCAGACCCCTCCACACCGTGAGGAGCCGCTGCCACTCTCCAGCTCAGTGCCCTGACCCCCAGCAGTCACCGGACATGGAGAGCAGATGATCGGGTGCCTTCCATCTCCAGGGCCACCCATCGGGCCTGGGGTCTCATCTTCATCGCCTGGTCCCCTCTTGTTCCTCAGGACTGCCGCGGGACACGGTGTTGGGCCACCTGGGAGCCAACATCACGTTGACCTGCCAGGACGAGGTGCCTGCAAATGCCACGGTGTTGTGGCAGGTGGAGGAGCAGGGGGCAGAGGGGAGCTGGGGACGACAGCTGGCAGAGGGAAACACGCTGCTCCTGCGGCGGCTGCGCTACGAGGACTCTGGGCACTACAGCTGCTCCGTGGGGAGCCACCTGCTGCGCTCCCTGCGGCTGCTGGTGGCAGGTGGGTCCACGCTGGGGTGGGAATGTCCCTCGCAGCATTGCCTGTGATGGCCCCTGTCCCCCAGCACCTCCCTGCCTTGCAGAGCCCCCTGAAACTCCCCAGGTCTTCTGCTACCGGCGGAGCCACGACAAGGATGTCCTGTGTGAGTGGCCACAGCAGAAGAAGCCATCCCCAGGGACACGGGCCATGCTCTGGGTGAAGCGGAGGTGAGTGCTGTCACTGCATCCACCATGGGCTGGGACCCCAATAGGACAGAACATGTCCCTATCCATGGACCCTTTCCCTGGTGCCATCTGGGACCCCATGGCTCAGGCTGCTTGCCTCCCTGCAGACCCCTTCCCTAGCAGCTATGGAGAGCTGGGAGTCCACAGCACAGGATGTGTTCCTTCCCCATGGCCCCATTGTCCAGTGCTGCCTGGGACCCCATGGCACAGAATGTATCCCTCCCCACAGACCCTTTTTCCGACACTGCTGGGGACCCCACAGCATAGGACATGTCCCCCACGGCTGCCCTGTGCCTAGAGCATGCTGCAGCCCCCCACTGAGCTGTGACCTCGCAGGTTTGCAGCTGAGAATGCCACAGAGCAGCGGTGCCGCTACTTCTCCAAGGCACGGAAGTTCGTTTGCCGGCTGAAGGTGCCACCTGGCACTGATGATACCAAACCCCTGGTGGTGTCCACGTGCGTCAGCAACAGCGCCGGTGGCTCGGCCGGCAAAGACAAGATCATCACCCTCAGCGGTGTCCGTGAGTGCTGCCCGTTGCTGGGAGCTGGGGTGGCCGAGGGTGCAGTGCGAGGCCCTGAGCCCCCGCTTCCCCAGCAGTGAAGCCAGACCCCCCGGTCAATGTCACGGTGGAGGCTCTGGAGAAGGCGCCGCAGCGGCTGCAGGTGAACTGGTCCTACCCCCCCTCCTGGGACCCCCGTTTCTACTGGCTCCGCTTCCAGGTCCGCTACCGCCCCGAGCCTGCCCCGACCTTCATGGAGGTGAGACCCCGCCTGCTGGCATGCTGCTTGTCCCTAGCCAGACTGTCCCCAGCGCTGTGTCCCCTCCAGGTGGATCAGGTGACAACAACTTGGCTCGACATCCGTGACGCGTGGCGCGGGATGAGGCACGTGGTGCAGGTCAGGGCGAAGGATGAGTTCGGCCATGGCACGTGGAGCGAGTGGAGCCAGGAGGCCGTGGGTACCCCCTGGACAGGTAGGAGGGGAACGTGGGGCCCTGAGGCTGGGGGCTCAGCATGGGCTCTCCCAGTCTCATACTCACCCCTCACTCTGCAGACCCTTGGGACCTCACCTCTGAAATGGAGCCTTTCAGCTCACAGGTAACAATGGTCTGAGCATCACACACTCCTCAAGGGGTCTCCTGTCCCCATGTGGGACACGGGGACACCAGGGCATGAGGGCTGACCTGTCCCATTGTGCCCCCCACCTTTTGCAGGTCCCCACAGAGGATGGCGCCTATGGGGTGACACTGCCCCCCAACCTCTTCGGGGAGGATGATACTAATGGTGCTCGTGGTGAGGAAGGATTCCTGCACTGGGGCTGGGGGGCAGGGACACCCAGGTCCCTTATCCTCACAATGAGCCCACCCATTCTCTCTCTGTCAGGGTCTGTCATGGAATCCAGCACCCAGCCTGTGGCATCCCCCTATGCCTTCCTGGTCACCGGGGGCAGTCTGCTCCTTGGCATCGCCCTGTTTGTTGGCATTGTGGTGAGGTGAGTGCCAGGGGGGCTGGTCCAGGGGGCTTGTGTCTGCCCCCTCCCTAACCTGGAGCTGCTCTTCTCCCCTGCAGGTACAGGCAGATGTGGTGGACGAGTGGGCAGGAGACGACCAAGCCAGAGGGCGAGGGGCAGCACATGCTGGTCCCTCTAAGCTTACTTCCACCCACACTCAGTGATACCCCTCTGCTCTCACACCCTGCCCCCTCAGCCCCTGGAGTGCTCCACACAACTCAGGCAGATTATTCCTCCTCAGGGCAGTAGCCAGGGGCTGAATATGCTGGCAGGTGTCTGGGGGTTGGATGGGGGGGGTCCCAGGGCTTTGATGTAGCTATGGGAGCAGTTCTCACCCCCACTACCTGGTGGCTCTGTGGCTGGGACAAGCCTCTGAGGAGGAGAATCAATGCCATCCCCCATGGGGAAGCAGCTGGGAAAAACTCAAACGGAGTCCTGGGGGCACCTTCAACACCATGGCCAAGCTGGGATGGCCAGGAGTGACAGCGCTGGAAGCATGGCTGCACCAGAGCTTGGGAGCTGGCCCAGGACCGGGTCTGGGGTCCCGCAGGGAAGGGCCTGATCCCTACAGTGCCACGGGGGTCGGGGAGGGAGGGCCTGGCTGGATCAGCCCCATACCTCTGCTCCTTTTTAAAGCATATGTTGGAGAAACAGGACAATGTGGCTCAAATAAATGCTTTGGATTTATACTGGAGTGGCTGCTGGGAGGAATGGGGTAGCAGAGGGGTCGCTGCAGCCCCCCCATTGCTTGGCACTGGCTCCAGTGGGGGTTGCAGCCCCACTTCATTCACCCCCTCCCTTTCTGTACTCCAACTATGCCCCCCACCATGTACCCCAGGCTGTGCTCTGTGGTTCACTGGTGCCTCCCAGGCCGTACCCCCTGTGCTGTGCATGCCTTCCTGCCACAGCCCCCTGCCCTGCACCCCCAGCCGTGCCTCCTCTGTCCTGCACTGCCCACCCCGTGCTGGGTTGTGCAACACCCCGGGGAGCTGCAGCTGCACCCGGGCAGGAAACCACAGGTCGAGGGAAGAGGGTGCTCAGGCACCCTGGAGACAGTGTTCCTCTTCCCTTCTGCTGGGCCCCTGCTATAAAAAGCCTGGCAGGATGCAGATGTGCTGTTGGGGGAGCCCCAGTACCCCTGGCCCCCAAAACTGGTGATTGCCAGCACGAGGCCCATCCCAGACCCCCAGGACCACTGCTCCCTCTCAGCCAACAAGTTTATTTTACTAGATCATTACACATCCCAGTCTCACTGCGTGCCCCCAGCTCGGGCACGTGGGCAGCCCCGTGACAAGTCGGTTCTGGCACAGGGTGGTCAGGACTTGTCCCAGCAAAAGGGACAAATCCAGCCCTGCTGGAGTCCAGGAGCGGGGTCCCTTCAGGACTGGAGACATGACAGGGGTTCTCTCACTGGACCCTTCCCGTGGTACGTGCCCCCATCGCTGTCTCATGCCACAGGGGTGGGGGTCGCAGACCACTCGGGGGCGGCACCGGCCGACGCTAATGCAGCTTGCAGTGGACGGGGTGCAGCAGGGCCATGTGCTCAGCCCCCTTGAAGGGCAGCTTCTCAGTGGAGTAGTAGTGCACGACTTCAGGGATGCTGGCGAAGACGCCGCTGGCCTGGCTGAGCGTGTACTTGTTGTCCTTGGTCTGGGCCACGATGATGTGGACGCAGCCCTGGCTGGTCCTGGCGGCCAGCAGGCATCAGTGCTGCCGCCAGCCCCCCGGCGCCCGCCTGCCCCGCGGCCGTATCCACCCCTGTTTGTTCCCGTCCCGCTCTGATTGTTTCGGCTCCAGGGGCTGCACTTCCTCAGGAAGGAAACGCCGCTGGCGCTCCCGACAATGTGCCGGGGAGGGGGACACGCCGTACCCCCCCTCCGCCCCAGCTTCGCACCAGGATACCTGGGTCCCCCCGCGGCTCGGGGGGCGCCCTCCCTCGGGAAAGGGGTGCTTCCTCCCCATCGGGGTTTTTGGCGTGAACAACCCGGGGGAGCTCCCGCCGAAGCAGCGCCCCAGAGTGGGGAATCACCCGATCTCAGGGTGGGAACCCCCGGGACCCCCCAGTTCTGTGGCCACCCCGACACTCACTTGAGCGCGATGGAGTACTTGCCGCTGCCCGTCTCGCTGGTGCGCACCAGGTAGCCGGCCTCCCGGCACGGCTGCAGCCGGCTCTCGGCCTCAGCCCGCGTGATGGCCCCGTGGAACCAGCTGCGGGGCGCAGGGAGGGCCGTGAGCCGTGCCAAACATGCGGCACCCCATCCCTCCTCGCCCCGCTCCCCACGCGTGGATCGGCCTCGCTACTCACGGCTGTTTCTCCAGGGCCAGGGCGGGGTCCACCCGCTCCCCCTCGCTGTGCTCGGTGCCCGCCGGCTTCAGCATCTTGGGGGTCCAGCTCTTCTGGCGGAGATGCTGCCGCAGCGTCTCCTCCTTAGGACGCTCCGAGCCCTCAAACTGGACTGGGAGGGACAAGATGTGAGCCCCCAAAGCCCCACCTCCACTTTTGATCCCCATCCCTATCTCCATCCCCGTCCCCAGCACCTCCCCCATTGCCAGTCCTTCTCCCACCATGTGTCTGAGCCCATCTGGTCAAACACCCCACCATGAGAAGGGACGTCTTCAGTTACATCAGGTTGTTCAGAGCCCCATCCAACCTGACCTGGCAGGCACCACCTCTCTGAGCAGCCTGTGCCAGTGCCTTGCCACCCTCAGCCCAAGAAAATTCTTGCATCTAAAGCGTCCCTTATAGTTAAAACCCATTGCACCTTGTCCTCTTGTGACAAGCCCTGCTAGAAAGGCTGCCCCCATCCCTGTCCGTGTTGCCACCCCCATTCCCATCCCACGTCAGTCCCTTCCCCCCATCCTCACTCCCATCCTGTCCCTGTCCCCTACCTGACAGTGCTTTGACAATCTGCTCCTTCTTCCACTCCCAGGGCTGCTCATACTCCCCCGCTGGGCGCTCGTCATTCTCGGGCAGGCGCCCATCACCAGCCCTCACCCTGCGCTCTGGGGTCCCCCCGGCCACCCCCTCCCCAGGCTCATAAGGGGTGTCATAGAGCTGTGGCCCCTTCCCTGCCAGCTCCTTGCCCCCCAGCCTCTTGGCAAGATCCAACTTGGCACCCCCCTCCCCAGGCTCTCCAGGGCCGTCTAGCAGCAGGATGGCTTTGACCAGGGGATCCTTGGAGCCACGACGACGGATTTCTGTGGGGAAGAGGGATGGTGGGTCAGGGATGGGTCTGTGTGTCCCCTGAGACCCCTCAGTCCCACTACCAGTCCTCGGTGAGGGATGTGCTGGGGACTCCATGCCGGCAACGCCCCGCTGGGAGCCAGCTCGGGAGGAGCTGGAGCAGGAAGGGGCCCATCCTCATGGCGCCTGCTCTGCTGTCCAGCCCTGGGGCTGCTGGCGCCACAGACACAGCCCCACGCCAGTGGGGCCAGCTGGGCTCCATGGCAGCAGGATGCTACACCCCAAGCTGGAGCTCCGCTGTGCGGGAGGCCGCCCCAGGGGCTCGCCCCTCCCAGCCCCCTGCTTCTCCCCACGGCGCCAGTCCTTGCCGAACAGCCTGGGCTGCCCCGTACGGAAAAAAAAATCAGCAGCAAATCTTTTATTTCCAGCTTCCGGCCCAGTCAGTTCCTGTTGTTGTGGCCAGCTGGACGGTCGCCACGCCAGCCGGGGTGTCGCTGGCTGGGGTGCACGTCCACTGGGAACTCTTGGGGGGTGGTACCCTGGGATGACTGGGGGGCATCGAGGGCTTTGCAGTGGCCACATGTGCCCGTCGGGTGATGGCAGCAGGTCACGGACACGGCTGAGGGGCCGGCCAGCACGGGTCAGTGTCCGGCCTTGCTCCCGCTCCTTATCTGGCCCTGCGCAGCCGCAGGAAGCGGCAAGCGGCTTTCCTGTTCCCGGAGCCTCCTGCGCCGGGTGGCTCCGAGGGCAGCCACAGACTCCCGGCTGGGGAGTGGTGCCAGCTGTGCTGCTGTGGCATGGCTCAACGTGGCACATACCTGTGATCATCTGCTGGGCATCGTAGGGCTCCATGTACCCGTCGTTCTCCCCCAGGCGCTCAGCATCCCGCTGCCCCTTGGTCCGTTTGGCATCGTAAGGGTCTGCGTAATCCTCCAGGATGATGACCTGGGCAGAGAACAGGCATTTCTGGCTTCAGGGGGCCGTGGGGACCCCGGCAGGAGAGCCAGGCAAGGAATAGGCACACTGGGGTCCCCAGGGAAGGACGGCAGCTTATCTGGGGTAAATGGAGCCGTGCCACAACCCCAGATGCACCCAGTGGCACATTTGAGTGGGGGCAGTCCAGACCATGCCTACGCCCCTCAGTGATGGTGAGGAGCCTGGGGGGAGCTCTGGGACTCTTCTGGGTGACAGCAATCCTGCTGACTGGCTCCCAGTCCTCCCAAGGCTGTGCAGGGGTGAAAGACCAGCTTCCCAGAAAAGCTTTACATCAGCCTTTGTTTAACCAGCAGATGAGCTCTGGGGTCAGGTTGGCTATGATGAGGATGCCCGACGACCCCCCCAGCCCCGAATGGGTGATGAAGGGCAGCTGGGATGAAGGCAGCTTTGAAGGAATTTAAAGGCAGTGCAGCCGGGCAGGATAAAAGGATGAAGTCAGCCAGGCTAATGAGTCGGAGACCAAAGCAGTTAAAGCCGCCAGCGCTTCGCGCTCCCCACATCTCCCCTCTGCCCCCGGCTCCCAGTCCCTGCCTTACCGTCTCTGTCTTGGGGGGCTTCCCCTTGTCCTGCTCGGGGGCAGGCAGGCCGGCAGGCAGGGGTCCGGGGTGCCCCTTCCCGTTCTTCTCGGAAGCCTCCACCTTGATGAGGCGGTTGATGTAGGTTTTGGAGGGTCCCTCCGGTGTGCCTCCCTCCACTCGAGAATTCTTCCGCATCTTCCCGGTGGCAGCCTGGAGTAGACCCTGCAGGTTGTCCCGTGACAGCCGGCTGCCCCCTTCCTTGCCACCCCCAGCCGCCCGGCAGCCCCCCAGCTCAGCGGTTGAATTCTTGCGGCTCTTCCCGAGGCTCCCGCTTCCCGGCCGAGCCTTCTCTGACACCGTCTTCAGGTTGGATGGGAACTCCTTGAACCACTTGGCCGCCATGGAGCTGGGGAGACGCCGGGTCCCGCAGCCCCCCCGGGGCTCCGCGACACCCCACGGCTGCCCCGCCGGCTCGGAGTCGACTCAGCCGGGGGGCGCTGGGCAGCCCGGCTGCCCCCAGCCCTGGGAACGGGATCCTCTGCGGACTGGGGCCAGCCCGGGAGCGGGGATGCGGGCCGGGGGACCGGGGCCTTCGTGGGGGGCTCCAGGCGTCCTCGGCCCCGGCGGGGACAGCTGGTGGGTCCCCAGGGGTGCCGGCTCCTGCGGCCCGGGGAGGGAACCGCGTGCCCTCGGAGGTCCCTGGCCCCGGGGAAGGGTCTCGGAGGGGGCCGGCGTATCCGCTCCAGCAATGGGATGAGTCGGGGGGTCTCGCCGGCTGTCGGAGGAGTCCGGCCGGGGCAGTCCCGGGGAGGTTCCAGGGGTCCGCTGCCCCTGGGGACGGGGCCCGGGGGGGTCTCTCCGAGCTCCGGAGGTCCCGGCCGGGAACGGGCAGCCGGGGGGTCCCGTCGCGGCTCCTCGGCAGGGCCCGTCTCCGGGGGCAGAGGGGCTTCGGAGAGGGGTCAGGCCGGCCCGGGGGGCCCCATGCGGCTGCGACGGGATGGGCCGGGGCCGGGCCGGGCCGGGGCCGGAGGGGGCGGCGGGGCCGGAGGGGGCGGCAGGCCGACGCTCCCCGCCCAGATCCGGAGGGGCGGCCCCGGGGAACGGCGCGGGCAGGCGGCCGCGGCCCCGGCGGGCCCGGGGGGCCGTGGGAAGCTTCGGTGGGGGTCCGGTCCCGCCGGGGCTGAGACCCCCCGTGACCCTGCCTGCCTGATGGGACCACCGTACACACGGCCCCGGACGGACCGTACGAGAGGACCCCGCGCAGAGACTCCAGGGCAGCACAGGACAGCACAGACCAGCGTGCCTGGGCCCCTCCAGAGACCCTGGGCACGGACCCTGAGGGTTGAGCCTGGGCATGGCTCTGCTCGCTATGGATGGGACTGCACAGCCCCGCCAGCCCCCTGTGCACAGCCGCCCTCACAGGGAGCCGGTGCACAGCCCGGCGGGGCACAGCGCTGTGTGCAGCCGGGGCACGCTCTGTGCCTCACACCACGCCAGCCAAGCTCTGTCTGGCCGTGCTGTCACCTTGCTGGAAGAGCGCGGCAGAGCCCAGTGGTTTGGGCTCCTGTCGGGCTGCAGTGCTGGGGGGCCCTTACAGCAACCTCTCCCCCTTTGCAACTGCACGGAAGAGGAGACGGATTTGTGGCAAAATTGCTCCCATAGCTCCAGGAGGGGAGTTTGTGCAGAGTACGGGCTCCTCTTCGGTACAGGGGGAGGTGCTGGGCGCTGGCAGCGCCGTAGGAAGTGATGGCAATTTCCTCGCGAGCGCGGCTGGGCAGGATGTGCCTCGCAGTGGTGCGATGCCGCTGGCAGGCTGCTGCTCAAACTGCCCATGGGATCTCACCTGGCTTCAGCTTTGCCTTTTTGAGGCCTAGGAAAATGCTACTTCCCCACCAGCAAACTCGGGTGCTGGCTCCTTTTCTTTACTTCAGAAGGCAGACTTCAGTCCCCCTCAGTTTTTATGGGGCCTCAACAGGACAGACACGCAGGCAGCACTGTCCTGGTCGCTTTGTGCTGCAGTGGTGTTCACACCAATGTGCCACATTTCTCCTTTGGGAAGACTTCCCTCGTCCTTGTTCTCTGCCAGCTCCCACAGGGGATGTGCCTTGCAGTGGTGCGATGCTGCTGGCAGGCTGCTGCCCGAACTGCCGATGGGATCTCACCTGGCTTCAGCTTTGCCTTTTTGAGGCCTAGGAAAATTCTACTTCCCCACCAGCAACTGCTTCCCACTCCCAGCACAGCCCCGGGAGTGCCTTTGGCAGTGGTGGCAGACGGCTCTGCACACCTGCTTCCCTGAGCCAGCCTGGGGGAAATGAAGGCCAAGCCCAGCTCAGAGTGGGATGGCTCCTCGCTGGGCAGGTGTGAACAGACAGGACTGGCAGATGGCCTGGGAGACACCTGCTCCTGCTTCACTTTCAGCCTCGATGCTTGTCAGGTCAGCATCCCAGTGACAGAGCATCCTGCAGGGCTCTCTTCAGTTCTGCTCTTCCCAGCCTGTAAAGCCACCATCACCTGGGAGTGTGTGCCATGAGCTCTCCCAACCAACTCAACATACCCAATCCCAACCCAACCCCACCACTGGGCTCAGCAGAGCAGTCCCTACTTCACCAAAGAGAAAGCCCCACAAGTGTTTTAAATCTTATTTAAACTCAGTTAACCTGCTACCTAGCAGGTTCCTGAGATAAAGGTGGAAACTGAGTGCAGCTACTTCTGCCCCCCCAGCCCCAGGTACCAGGAACAGGGTTGGAGAGGACCCAGAACCCCAGGAGGTGCTGGTCTGGGCTGGAGAACACAGGCCAGAGCTGCTCAGCTTCACAAATCCTCTGGTCCTTCAGCAAAGCACTCAAAATAGTCCCAAAGATGAGGCCAGAGCCACTCCTGCAGCTGTGAGTAATCCCTAACAGCATCTTTTTATTCCAAGGCTCTGAGCAGGACAGGGAAACAGCTGCTGAAGTAGATAATGGACTTCTGAGGCTCTTTGATTTTCTAATGACTTTTATTCAAACACAGTGAATTAATACGCATGGTTCCATCTTTGACACTAGTGCGTCACTTCTGTCCTCCAGACGAGGACGTGGCCCGAGTTAGAGGAGCTCCAACAGCCAAATCTCTTTCCAGCTGACTCAAAACAGGGCCGTGGGGATTCAGGGAAACAGGCCACAACTGCAGCAACCCCATCCACGGAGGGCTGGAGTACAAAGGCGAGCAGGAACAACAGCTTAAGGGGAGTAAAAGAAAACCCCATAGAACGGGGTGTTCACTGCTGGAACGGGTCCTGGCCAGGGAGGGGGGCAGGGGCAGGACAGAGCAGTGCCCATGCTCCACTCCCTGCAGAAGCTTGCAGCCACAGCACAGCAGGGATGGGGACAAGGGGCTCAGCCTCCATGCGTGGCTAGTGGGGAGAAACAGGACAAAGCTCAGGCCTCAGCTCATCTTACTGCTTGGCAAGAGGACAGGGAGAAGTGTGGGGTGGGAGCTGGCAGCCCTGGGATACACCCACAGACCCTTCCTCCACTGCAGGAGAGGACAGCCTCACAGATGTCCCCCTCTGTGCTTCGAGGTGCAAGTCTGCAGTTTATACAGAAAAGCTGGGTTTGCCCAGGGAAGATGGGGCAGAAACCCTGCTCCATTTGTGCCAAAAAAGAAAAGGGCTTTTCTTCTCCCAAGGCAATTGCATCAAGTCTTCCTGCAGGGCTTGGGCCCACCACAGCTCCACCGACTGCCTCACCCTGGGACCAGGGCTGCAGCAGGGTTTGCAGGGCACAACCCACCCAGCAGGAGCTTGGAAAAAATTAGTTAGACCAGCATTCTCAAATTAACAAACTGTAATTTTTCTCCAAAGATACATTTTCCATACACATCCATCATACACCGTAACAAAAAAAAGCAGTGTACATGAAATAAGAAAATAAATTAAATCCATAGCATAGGTAAGGAGGATGCTCTAGACTGGAGTAGAGTCAAAAGTTTCCAGCAATACAAGAGGCTCAAGAGTTTGTTTTAATAAGAATGCCTGCTAGCATGGGCCCAGCAAGTGTTCTGGGTCAGTCCAACTCCTTAAACAGTTATTTAGAGTTTTGAACAGCCAGTATTGTCCTGCAACAGGCAGAGCTATTACATCCTGGGAGAAAGCCAAGAGGCATCACTAAGATCCAAGTAGAGCATCCAGAAGATATTCAGATTGGTCCTGCAGCATCCACACTAGCCATCCTCCTTGGGTGGTGTATACCAGCCTGGAATGAGGAGAGATCTGTGAGGGAGGAAACTGCACCTGGAGAAGCTGTCAAAAACAGCCAAGTCCCACTTCTAAAGGGCCACATATTCCTGATTACTGGGAGGCTTTCCCTCTGGCTGACTTCCCAACACCACACAGGCAAACACAGAATCATTCAGGTTGAAAAAGACCTCTCAGACCATCAAGTCCAAGCCATCAGTGAGGTGCTGCCTCTAGTTACAGCCACCAGAGACCAGCACTGGGCAGCAGAGAGGGCAGCAGCACTCTGCAGCCACACTGTGTTACAGCAGCTGCCACTGCTGCTGTCACCTCTGCACCTAAGGCAGGATAAAACTCGAGTGGCTTGTCTGGGGAGCTCAAACAAGCAAGGGAAAATGCAGGCCCTCTCCCTCAGTCCTTACCATTCTTCTCATGGATCTGAACCAGGGACTTGTAGGACTGCTGTGCTCTTGTCAGGCTGTACTGGTTCTGCAAGGGAAGGCAAGGAGACCGTCAGTCCAGCAGGAACCTTGGGGAAGCTATCCCATGCACCTTCCCTGTGCAGCCAGACCTGGCTGTGCCCCCATCTGCCACCCCCCATTCTCCTACACTGCCCAGGCCCTACCTTGTTGGCTCCAAATTGTACTCGTGCCTTCCCTTTCACCAGCGTTGCACTGATCTGCATGATCACCGACTCGATGGAGTAGGCACTACTCCAGCCCTTAGGGACGAAACACACAGTGAGGCCAGACCCACCCACCTGTGCTCCCAGTGCCACCAGAGCCTTCCCCAGCTCTGGCAGGCAGTGGTAGGGCAGGAGCTGTCAGGAATACCGAGTGTGGTAGGCAGAACAGCTCCCCCAGGGACCAGCACCCACCTGTTTCGTAAGCAGCTCCATGCAGATGGCACCACCACCCAAAACATACCTGGGAAGGAATCAGACAAAGTTACCACACAGACAGATGTGATTGTACCCACCCACTGCTCCAGAGGTGAAACACCTTCTCTGATTAGATTTCTGATGGAAAAAATATGCTAAAAACTCCATCATTGCTGTCTGCTTCCCAATGGCAAATCCATGACAAGGAAGTCACAGGGCTGCACAGCTCTGGATAAACCCAGTGAAACTGCTGCAGGAAGCAGCACTGCAGAGCAGAGAGAGACAGATAGTTACTCACCCCCCTGACAGCACCGGGG